AAATGCTAAAGAATATATATTTAAAATTTAAAGAAAGGTTTATATGTATATTTTTAAATAAATTTGATTTTTGCAATTTTTTTACAAAAATTTATATATAAAACTAGGTGTGTTAACTCATTTGATTTATAAGTAACAACATTCAGTTGGAAATGTCCTATGACTGCTAACCTTAACCTAGACACTACCCTAACTTAAATGAACTTAATTTTGGGATTGTCGGAATTTTTACTGTCAGGATTTTTTTATATTTACCAGAAAAATTAGTTATATGTATTAGTTTAGTTTAGTTTAGTATATATACAAATATACTTTACGATTTTGTTACCTGTTACATAGAGATGATGATCGATTGCTCGATCGGTTTTATTGTGATCGATCGCGTGATCGATCAATAAATATATTTTTACGCGATTATGATCACATGATTGCGATACTTTATTAATCCAGTAATACAAGTTTATATAGAAATCGATGTTTGGGTACAGCCTTATGAAATAAGTAGTGATAATTTGTTGATAATAACAATTCATTTATTTGAAGAACGAAGAACGAGAACAAAGAAAGATCTCAAATACAACAATCATTTTCAGGAAAACATGAATATAATCCGGCAAGCTTAGCGCGAATGTTTAATTAAGAGAAAGGAAAAATTAAAATAAATTACTTAATACAGACCTTTACATATGTTTTACGTATAAGTATTTACGTATATAAAATTAATTATCCGTTATGGTAGAAGTAAAAATATTTGTGACATGTCGTAATTTTAAAATAAAATGTTACAAAAAATTATAACTTAGTAGTTGGTTACGATACGACTTATCCAAATATCTTGAGATTTTACTGCATCACTACAACCGAACATATAATTGAGATTGATTTCTAATTTTTAATCAATCATAAATAATTCGATTAATCAATCTTTCAACCATTTTTATGCATGATTGATTATACCATCTCTAGATTTTGTAATAAAAACATAAATTCCAGTTCAACAATTCAAGTAGCTTCAGTATAATTAAAAGTAAAAAAAAAAAGGTATTCTCATGGCAGCGAACCTAGAAATGCAGATCAAGAATTGAGTGCATAAAAAAAATAATAAAAGACTTTTAAAAAATCGATATTATCGTTATCGTTAAGTTCTAAAAAGTTTGAAATTCGGAGATTGCCGCAGATTATCGTTGTGCTAAATATATCTTAAGATCCTGTATATGATACTTCCAGGTTTTCAGGTGAGATTTCGATTAATACGTACGTACAAGATTTAATATATATATATATGTATATAAATACGTATAAATATATATATATATTAATACTGTATAGTACACCTCTCAAATCCGATATGCATAGTGGATAGCTTTTGAGAGGTTATCAGATTTAAAATTAAAATACTAATGGCCAGCTGGTCACATGATTATAAATTAATATAGTTGGCTGTATTATATTTCTTTATAATAATCTGTTACATAAAACCAGATCTAAGTCAATCATCAATTTATATTATATATATATATACCTGTTAAATCTGATAGATATCTGATCTTTTGAATATCAGTTATCAGAAATGACAGGTTATCTGGTTTGAATTATGGAACAGATATGGTGGATCAATTTTCTATCGGTTATGGCAGGTTATCGGTTTTGACAGGACCGGTTTTACGAGGGTATACTGTAGTAAGTTATATCAGATTAATTTTCTTTGGTATTTAAGAAGAAACCTTATTATGTGATACTAAAGAAATTTGTATACTATCCATTATTAATTATAATTAATTATACGTATATTCGAATAGAAATCCTATCAACTCTTACTGCCTTCTTCATAGGAAGACTTTTATATGATTGGTTGTTTAAATCAATTTAATTTTACATTATTTATACAGTTTAAAGTACTTTTTAAAAAAAAATAAAACTACGAATAAACAAAAAAGAAGTAGGGTTGTAGAACTCTACTATTAAAAATAATCAAAATCCCTTTTTGTTTTAGAGAAGTTAGCGTGGTGATAAGGAAAGTGTCAGATATTAGCTGATACAGTATCATAGGGTTAGGTCTAAATACAGAAATACTGTATATACAAATAACCAATCAAAATGACTAAATTTCTCAGGAGGGAGGGAGGGGAGTGAGCTCTATAGTAAACTGATCTCAGCTAATATCTGATACGTCCCTAATCTAATTCTATCTATCTTTAAGAAGTCGCTATTATGCTAACTTCTCTGAAACAAAAAGGGATTTTGATTATTTTTAATAGCGGAGCCCTACAACCCTAATAAACCTTTCTATATACTTCTTTTTTGTTTATTCGTAGTAGGTTTATTTTTTTTTAAAAAGTACTTTAAACTGTATAAATTAGAGGTGCAAACATTTATAATTTTAGAGGTAGCTACCCAGCAAAAATATCACGATGATACGGCATATTTTCTGTATAAGTAGAAGTGCCGCATGCCGTATAAATGCCATACGCCGTATAAGTGTTGTATACCGTATGAATACCGTATGCCGTCATTCACCTTAATTTAGTGGGCGAGTATAAAGAAGTTCTATTAATCGGTGGATTAAAAAAGTGATTCATGTTTACAAACACTTATTTACTATATACTAACTAATACCCTTTAATAAATTTTTAATTATAAAAATATATGTAACCTAGATATGGTAAAGTATACAAGACAATGCATGGTGTTTGGCAGTGATCTCCACAAGCAAAAATGACAAAAATGAGAATATTAATGATTGCATAAGAGAATTTCAGCTCAGAACCCTAGGAATGCAACTGAACAGATTTCATTCAATAAATTACCGTATAAGCGCGAAATAACGCTTGTGGGTGTTATTTTGAAAATCGGATCCTTCAAAAACAACTTATATGTTCTCGACATCAATGCGCATTCTAATGTAACACAATTTATTGTTGCGATAATGATACTTCATATGTACACTCTCTATAAGTGCGCTTTCCCTATAATGGTAAGTGCACATAATTGATCGGTCTAATGTAATTATTTAATATTATCGTTATTTGTTGCGTATACAGTATGTAGATTATGTTCCATGAATGAATATTTTATAAATACACTTTACTCAAAAACGTGCAATTATGGGGATTTAGAAATTCTTCCCTTATTTCGAAATAACGCACATGGGTTTATTTGAAATAACGCGTAGGGCGTTATTTCGCGCTTATACCTGTATACTGTATATTCAGCAACTTAGGTTGGATGGTATACGAAAATTGATTATAATTGTGTAAAGTGCGTGAACCATCTTTTTGTGTTTACTTGAAATTGATTGGCTAACGAAAATTTTCAGGATAGTAACGCTATACGCAACTATCTCACGGCAATATAACCTTGGGGTAGTAATGCTGTAAGTAGTCACTACTCTGAGAAATGTCTGCATCATTAGTAGCTACTAAATGTTTGCATCTATAATTGAGAAGTATCAGATTTGAAAAAATTATAAACTACTAGATTTATACTGTACTGTATAATAAAAACAGACGTGGTAGACAGGTTATCAGTTTTGTCAGAATCGTGATAAAATTTTAATGTATGTCCCTTTAACCAATTTTATTGGTATCGTGATTTGGGTTGCCTGTTAAACTCAGAGTCTTTAGACAGCAGAGACTCGGAAATTTTTCGAAATCAATTTTTTGAAACCAATCAAAATTTTTTTATACATATCTTTAAAAACTTTTTTTAAAAAACACCAATCAACTTTATATATGTTATTTGTGGATTCGAATTATCGAATTAGTGAAACTGGAATATGCAATGTGCATATACTGTATGAATATGGGTCACGACATCTTATGTGTATATCAACATTTGGTCAAAAAAATGAACGTTTAAATCTTATATATATAATAGGTTGTTAATTTTTGGAAGAACTTTTTCCAAAATATTTCGCTTAGTTATAAAAATAACGTAATTCAGAAAAAAATTTGAACACGAATATTGTTCATGTTTTTCTCATATCATATGTGCACTTATTTCGCAGATTCCGCAGTACGCAAGTGAATATTTTCACCGAGCTTTTTTAAAAAGGAAAAGTTTCGATTGACTATTCTTTATAACTAACTGGATATTTTGAAAAAGGTTTTTCCGAGAATGAACACTTACCATACTGAATTTACTGAATTTACTGAATTGACTATATAATATATTTATATACATACTCATTCAGTATCATGTCGAAAAAAAATATGACCCATATATGTTCATCGCCGAATCTAAAATAGATTTTGAATATAAGATCAAACGATCTTTGAAACAGTTTAACTCAAAAAGTTAACCCAAGAATAATTTTCATAAAAACCATTTTCCAAGTGCAATAAATTTTTATCTCGTTAAACGACTATGTCAATTCCCATATCGTAAAGTAATCTTGGAAATTACTAAACAAAGCATATTGTATCGCTTACATGCTACAATGCAAAAACGGAATATCTAAATGACATTGCTGTATTGGTATGAATAAATTATGCAACTGTGGATCGCTTAAATACGTATCAAAATAAAATTATTAATTACGATAGGGGTTGGAACTGCCTTGACCGTTTTAATTGTCTTTAATGACTAACAAAAAATTAATCCTTATCTCGCATTGTACGTATGAAAATTAGAACATATTCAAATGCACATATTCAAATATACACAATGGATGTTCTAAAACTATGCAACCATGTAAATATTATATGTATATTGATCACTTGGTTTAATTTTCTAAATATAGAAAAAAAAGTTAACAAATATAACAAATGCAGAAATGTTGTATATACCCTCTCAACCCGAAATGTGAATCAAACTAAATTCAAAAATATAAAGAAATTAGTTCACTGCTTATTGGTTATTTATATTTATTGTATTACGCAAATATAAATTATAGCCACTAAGTATTTAGTAGGACAAATAGCGTTCTACATAAATATCTAAGTAAATTTCAAACATATAGTATCTCGCAAGAATCTAAGAGAGGTTTTAAAATCTGCACAATGTTGTGGTCTAGATCTCTCGCAATTAGTTGCATTTGTCTTTTCCTATTTTCATCACATACTTTCGCTTTCTACCTACCTGGAGTTGCGCCTCATGATTACGAGCATGGTGCTGAAGTGAAGTTGTATGTCAACTCTCTCACTCCGTTGATGGGATCTCACCAACTTAAATCTTTGATTCCATATGACTACTATTACAAACCTTTCCACTTTTGCTCTCCAGAAGAACCTCAAAGTCAATCAGAATCCTTGGGCAGTATTTTGTTTGGTGACCGTATTTTTGATTCTTTATACAAGGTATATACATAGTTGATTTCACGCTAGTGTCAAAAAATAAAATTTTGAATCTATCTCATTAAAATATTGACTACATTCTGAATTTAAAATTTATTAATGTTCTTTATAATAATTAGCTTAATATGGCTGAAAATACTACCTGTCAATATCTTTGTAGTGTTACAGTTCCCGGTGAAGATGCTGCATTCATCAATGCCCGAATTAAAGAGAATTATGCGATTAATTGGCTCATTGATGGTCTTCCTGCTGCTAGCAGAAAAAGAGATTTGAGAACCGACACAGAATTCAATAGTATTGGATTCGAATTAGGTGATTCAGTAGCCTCTTTTAACAATCCTCCATTACACAATCATTATGATATCGAAATTCAATATCATAAGCAAGAAAGTGCAAATAAATATCGTGTCGTTGGTGTGATTGTCTCCCCTACAAGGTATGTCTCATTTTTAACTCAATCGCTTTTTGATCTACCATTCTTCATTTTAAAAATTTACAGTTTTTTTTATTTTTTATGAATTATTATTAGTAATAAATATGACTCGGAAGAACATGCCAAAACTTGTGAAATTACAAATGAACGTTTAATTTTAGATGAAAAGAATGATAACCTTGTACATTACACTTATAAAGTCATATGGACTGTACGTTTACTTTAAATTAAGATATTAAAAAATATATATATTTTTTGATTATTAATACTTAAATTTTATTATTCAGCCTTCAAATATTGCTTGGGCAACGCGTTGGGATAACTATTTACATACTTTTGATCCAAGGATTCATTGGTTTAGTTTGGTTAATTCTATCGTAATTGTACTTTTCTTGACGGGTATGGTGGCTATGATATTACTTCGTGCATTACACAAAGATATATCTCGGTATAATCAGTTAGAAGCTCAAGAAGATGTACAAGAAGATTTTGGTTGGAAATTAGTTCATGGAGATATATTTCGTACTCCGGCAAATATTATGTTGTTGTCTGTTTTTTTGGGAAATGGATCTCAACTGTTTTGCATGACAACCGTCACTCTTTGTGAGTTAAAAATTTATTATTTTAATTTAAATCAACTTTATTTATTTTATTTATTTATTTATTCCATTTATTTATTTATTTTTATTTTTTAGTATTCGCTGTTCTTGGTTTTCTCTCACCATCAAACCGTGGTTCTCTTGCCACCGTCATGCTTATCTTTTATATGCTTTTCGCATTCGTAGCAGGATATGTTTCTGCACGTATTTATAAAATGTTTGGTGGTGATGCTTGGAAGAAAAATGTCTTTTTAACAGCATTTTTATTCCCTACGTAAGTAAGAAAGAAAAATGTGTTCATTTATATATTTCTGATGTTATTTTTAATTATTCTAAAATTAAAATTTTATTATTACTTTTATATAATACTTTATTACTATTTTTATTACTTTAAAATAGGATAATATTTAGCATTTTTATTCTCTTAAACTTTTTCTTGGTATCAGCAAAATCTTCCGGCGCTGTCCCTGCAACTACGCTTTTGGCAATAATGGGATTATGGTTTTTAATTTCCGTTCCTTTATGTTGTATTGGATCTCTCTTTGGATTTAAAAAACCGGTACATATTTTTTTTAAAAAAATTTATCAATTTATTCTTTATAAAAGTCGATAAAAATTAAATATTTTTTTTTAATTTATTTATTTATTTACACTTATTTAGAGAATTGAACATCCTGTTCGAACAAACCAAATTCCTCGCCAAATTCCAGATCAAGTATTCTATCTTCGACCAATACCTTCGATGCTAATGGGAGGCGTCCTTCCTTTTGGTGCCATCTTTATCGAATTATATTTCATAATGAATAGCATATGGGGAAGTAAAGTATATTACTTATTCGGATTCGCTGCTTTGGTATTTATAATTCTTACAATTACATGTTCAGAAGTAACAATTCTCCTATGTTACTTCCATCTTTGTGCGGAGGTCAGTATACTATTATTATTTTATTATGTGTACAATATTGGGCAGACGATCTGTTATTTGTCGTATGCCCAATATTGATATTATCCGGCAGATATATATGACCATGTGGTGTTTTTGCATAAATGATTATGTAACCTCATGCAAAAAATATCATGGCAAAAAAATTCACATGAACATATAAATGCCGGATAATATTTATTTATTTATTACAGTATTATTATATTTTCTATTTTATTTTTTTTTTTTAATCTTCTTTTTTAATCTTTTATTTTTTTTCAAAAGGATTATCATTGGTCTTGGAGAGCGTTTTTGACATCAGGGGCATCTGGATTTTACATTTTCGTTTATTCTATTATGTACTTTATGACAAGGTTACAAATTAATTCTTTAACCAGTGCGGTGATTTATTTTGGGTGGTCAGGAGTAATTAGTTTAATGTTCGCTGTTCTCACCGGTTAGTTTCTTTATTTTTATTTTATTTTTTTTTGAATATCGAATATACCTTAATCTAATTTCGAAAATATTTTTTTCATAGGCACTATTGGTTATTTCGCTTGCCTTGCATTTATCCGAAAGATTTTTATGAGCATTAAAGTTGATTAATTTACACTTTTAAAATGTTAGGAATGTCCCAAGTTTGATATAGAATGAACCTTGTTTTTGGAGGTTGGGACGTAAAATTTTGTAATTTTTTTTTTAGGAGAATGTCGGAATTATTTTATTATAAAATAATCACAGCCATGATGATAATAATACCTTGTTTAGTTATCTTTGATAGTAATTTTGATACGATTATTTTTATTTAGATTTATTTTCATTCAACCTACTAATAAAAACCACCAATTATAGTTTGTGAAACGTATACATATTCAGCCATGGAAGATCATGAGAAATCCGAGATCCGTGTAATATCTTTTAAGAGTAATTACCTTTATTTGATTATCTAGAAATTTAGATCTAAAATCTTACTACTGTATTAGCGGGAGTTTTTGCCACATAACGATGCGATTTTGTACTCAGTTTTGAGATAATGCATTCCTATCCATAGAAGATAGAATTCTCCGTTATCAGTGATCATGATGAGCCTGCATTTTGCAGTATACATGCACGTCATTTTTACAATATTGTATAATAATGATGTGATGAGATTTTATTTTAGATTATCAGATCGCACTGTATTACACTTTAAATAAATACATACAAACAACGATAATGTCATTTACCTGGCTCTTACATACAGTACATATCTTTGTTCCTTTTAAAAGATACAGGTATAAGTACCTCAGCATTCTAACTCTTTTTTTTCAAAAATCCATATGAGCATTTTTAGCGACACAACTTCTGACGACTATATAGCACATCAAGGTTAGACTTTATCTTCGTGGACTTCTTAAGCCAAATAAGCCTTTAAACGTTTATGGCTAACTTTTTTTCCTTTCTATAGTTTGGAAATCTTCTGTAACCTCTTACTAAATAATAAATAACAACAAATAACTCGGAATTCTCTACTTTCACTGCTTTTTATTATTACTATATAATTAATTATTAAAATTTTACCTTAACCAAAAAAAAAAAAAAAAAACCTCAAACCTCGCATTTCACCATAAAATATTTAACATGCCTTTACAACAATTGACAAGACCTACTCTTCTTTCACGAACTTTATTGTTCGTGAAAAGTATTCAACGTGGTTTAGCCACAGTTACCGATCAATCCTTTGCTAGTACTGCACCACCACCTGCACCATATGCTTTATCAGTTTCTAGCAAGCCTCCACCTGCAGCTTTGAAACTAAAATCTGGTCATGTTTTCCATGGTCAATCTTTTGGTGCACAAACTCCAGTATCTGGTGAAGCTGTCTTTACAACTTCGCTCGTCGGTTATCCGGAATCAATGACAGATCCTTCATACAGAGGGCAAATTTTAGTATTTACTCAACCCCTAATCGGTATGTATATACATGCATATATATATAAATATATATATATTTTTTATTGTCAATTTCTAACATCAACTTCATTAAATTTTTAGGGAATTATGGTGTTCCCGGACTTTTTAAGGATCAATACGGATTATTGAAATATTTTGAATCTGACCGTGTTCAATGTCAAGGTATTGTCGTCGGAGATTATGCTGTGCGCTATTCTCATTGGAACGCTGTAGAGTCACTAGGATCATGGTGTGCTCGTCATGGTGTACCTGGAATATCTGGTGTTGATACTCGTGCTATTGTTCATTTACTACGTGATCGAGGATCGACTCTTGCAAAACTCGTTACTGGTGATGATGCTGCTAACGAGGACTTTGATAAAATTCCTTATGTTGATCCAAATAAACGAAATCTGGTAGCTGAAGTTAGTACAAAAATGCCAGTCTCCTACAACCCCTTCGGGGATGTGAAAATAGGTGTCGTCGATTGTGGTGTTAAATATAATATCCTACGTTCTCTGGTTAAACGTGGAGCTGCTGTTACTATCTTACCACACGACTTCGACTTTAACAAAATATCTAATGAATTCGATGGATTATTCATTAGTAATGGACCTGGCAATCCCAATATGGTTACTGAAACCGTTCGCAACTTGCGTACTGCATTAAGCGAATATCAAAGACCTATATTTGGTATCTGTATGGGCAATTTATTACTAGGTATGGCGGCGGGACTTAATGTATATAAACTCCGGTAAGATATTAATATTTATTTATAAAAAGTAATATACATTCCTTTTTCTTTTCCTAATCCTATCTTCTAATAAATTTTTAGATTTGGAAACCGAGGTCATAATGTCCCAGCTGTTAGTGTAGATGATGGAAAATGTGCAATCACTTCCCAAAATCATGGATATGCCCTTGATGATTCAGTAATGCCAGAGGGATGGATAAAATACTATGTCAATGCCAATGATGGCACTAATGAAGGTATTCGCCATTCAGTATTGCCTCGATGGTCAGTTCAGTTCCATCCAGAAGCGAAGGGTGGTCCACAAGACACAGAACCCTTATTTGATGAATTTATTGACCGGGTTCGTTCTGATAAACTCAAAAGAGTTGGATCCCCAATATTCTTTACAGACAAAGCCGTTGTCACTCCCACTCAATATGCTTAATTTACATTTTTGCGTTTTTTTTTTTTTTGCAATCAATTGAATATTATGTAGATTAAGTCTTTTTTTTTTTTTTTTCTATGTATTTATAGCTATATTCAGCTTTTGATATGTATTTTTTTTTTTTCTTTGATATTTTCACTTTTAAACCATCTTTTAAAACAAAGATATTCATATTAAGAAAAGGAGAAAAGAAAAAAAAAAAAAAAAAAAAAATCTTGTAGAACATTGTAGCTGATTATGATAATATTACTTTAATAAATGTGGTTTTATATGCACGTAATTTTTTTTTCTGGTGTGTTACTTTATTTGAACCAAAAAATTTAATGTTCATCGAGGTTACCCGATCCTCATCTTCACAGTATCTGATATTCGGTAAAAATTACCGGATTTAATCAATGTTTAATCGTGTCCAATCAGATTTGAACAGCACCTCAAATTTTTGATCGATCGAAGTAGATAATAAATTGACCGAATTTAGTTGAAAGAGATAGTTCAGATTTTTACATTTCTTTAACGATGTTAAAGACATTTTTTAGACTAGGAAC